TCATCTCTAACATGGCAGAAAACGGTTGCCATGGTGCTTAAATTAGCTCAGCTAACTACATTTTCTAAAAGCTGCTAATCTTCATTATGAATATCGTCCGAATGGAGAAACTGGGAAAGCCTTCGTGTTAAAGACGACACAGTCATGACAGTCAGTGTGCTACAAACTAGGCCAGCTCGCTGATTCCCGTCAGCGTTTCCCGCTGCCCACCTGCTCAGATATCCGCGGTACTTCAGCCGCTTCCTCCTCAACTGATCGTTATTCCTGCTTTAGCTCTGAGTTTTTGTTTTTGGCTGCTGATCGTCTCAGTTTGATTTCAGAATCGTTCAGCAAGGCTAAAGCTAATGCTAATTCTGTACACTCTTAAATAAGAGGGTTCTGTGTCTGTTGGTTCCTGTTTGTTCTGTAATGTGTGTTGTCTTATTTAATGGTTGATATCACAGCATAAAGGATCCTAATGGTTAACAAGTGACCAGTGGCTAATTCTAAATGCATTTGATGGTCTACTAATGGGATCTAAAGCTGTTTTACAGGGAACTAGTGGTCTCTACTGGAAACCATTAAGCCAATTCCCATTAGAAAGCAAAACCATTAGGTTTTAATCCTTATGGTTTCTAATGGTCCTGTTTCAGCAGCGTTCTAGGGATCTTTAGTAAAAACAGTGGTTCTGTATAAAGCCATGAACACTCAAAGAACCAGCATGCTTAAAAGGTTCTCTGCATGGTGATATGGTTCTTCATACTGATGGAGAATGTATTGTATATGGTTCTATAGAGCACCAAAAAAGGTTCTTCTATTGTATACAAGCTTGACATTGTAGCAATAGCAGAACCCTTTTTGATGCTATATAGAACCAACACATTCTCCATCAATCTGAAGAACCACTTCACCATGCAAAGAACCTTTTCATCATGCAAATGGTCATTTGAGTTTTCATGGCTTTATACAGAACCACTGTTTTTAATAAAGAACCCTTGAAGAACCACCTGTTTTAAGAGCGTCGAACTCTCTGTTCTGTCAGCTGAGATTCACAGGCCGAATGTTAACAGGCTAATCTCCACTCTCACCATCAAACACACAGGCTAAGTACCAAATTACAGTCTGCAGACAGGACTGAACAACCTGGGGGCTAATTTAGCTGTGAGTTACTGTAAGTGTGTTTTAGCTGTTAGTGCACAGTAATCAGCTCAAATCTGTTACCGACCCACTGAGGATCCTCCTGATCACTCGCTCTGCTGCTGAGAGCCGTATTAAGAACACACCCTCTGAAAGACGTTCATCCGTGACAGTTAAGAGTCCATTACAGCTCTGAAATGAGCAAAAACACATTTAGCAACAGCTAAACAAGATAATCAGGTCTGAAAGTGGGAACAGCTGAGAGCGAGACGCCTAATCAGGCTAACAGCTCAGCTCACCGAGTGATGGAAACTGGATTGATTCTGCAGTTCTGGAAGCTCAATTAGCAGAACTGAGGGAAAAACAAACGCAGGAAAATCTAGCAGGAGAACTGAGAGATGAACAACTGTTCAGTGCTAAATAATAATAATAATAACAATACTAATAATGATAATAATAATAATAACAATAATAATAATGACAATAATAATAATAACAACAATAATAATAACAATAACAATAACAACAATAATAAGCCTTATTTATGGAGCGCTTTTCATATCAGTGGCAGCTCAGAGTGCTTTACAGACAGCTGATAAGTTTAACAGTAACAGAAGAAACTGAGGATTAATTTAAACTCATACAAGACAAAACAGATCAGATTAAAGAGGTAAAGTAGAGTTTTACTGAAGCTCTGCGTTAAAGAGCTGCGTTTTCAGGTGTTTATTAAAAGTGAGCTCTGAGCTCGACTGTCTAATAAAAGCTGAACTGAGCTCCACAGTTTAGAAGCAGAATAACTGAAAGAGTCTCTCCACGTTTTCTGTGTTTTACTGAAGGAGTTCAGAAGGTCAGAATCTGCAGATCTGAGATCATAAACAGACGTTCAGGAGCTTTAAGGTCATTTAGAGCTTTAAAAACCAGCAGCAGAGCTTTAAACTCTCTCTAAGAGATCCAGGCGGTCAGTGCAGTGTGTAACGGGGTGATATGAGCTCTCTGTGTTGCTGCTGTGTGTAAAATGTTGTTGATGACACGATACAAACTATACTGCACATAATAAACACTGGACAGTGTAATTTATCACAAGCCAGCTCAGACAGGTGTGCAGTGTTGTAAAGTAAGCAAGTAAAGAAAAAACAGTTTGAATTGGTAAATCAGTCCAACGGTCTGAGATATGGCTGCATCAATCTATAAGCCTAGATTAGGGCTGAAAGATGAACCGTTTTTGTATAAAAATCACAATATGAAAGAATCACAAGAGCTGCAGTATTTTAATAGAATGCATGATCAACAAAGCAGACTTCAGTGGAGAAATTTAACCCTATAACACAGAGGGTGTGACCTGCCTTTAAATCGGTGACACAAATCAGAAGCTACAAAACACCCATGTTCTGTATGTGTGACATCACAACCATCACAACTAACTGGTAGTCTGGCACACACAGTGTCTAAACTTCACGCCAGAAAAATGTGGATGTTCTGCTCTTTTTAGTGTGACGCTGTGATTCTAACGGAAGGAGAACCTGCAGCTTTGGCTCAAGAAGAAGGCTGGAGAAGATTTAACGACAGATTAATGTACCAGTTGACAGACAAAATAAAGTCATTGAAGAAATGATTTGAAATTGTTCCTCACAGAACTGAAACTGGGACACCTCAGAACATGCTGCATTCACTAAAGAACACAAGGAGAACCATCTTTTTTAGGAGAGTATTTCTGAAAGGGCAAGTTTCACACCCTACTGCAAACTTTCAAGTCTTATCTGGCAAGAGACTGACCACGACTGACCACGACAGACCAAACTTTCTGGCGTAAGATAAATTTATCAGTTTGCTAACTTAGCCTGAAACGGGACTGAGGTTAGACGACTTTTGGCATCCGTAAAAAATACAGAACTCTGAGAGACGGACGACACAGATGAGGTTCCAGTCTACAGTGCAGTCTTTCATAAACACCACTGGCAGGGATGAACACTCTGCTGTCGGCGTTTCACTGTTTTCCCGTTAACCGTGAAACAGATCACTGCAGTGAACATGACCCATAGCTGTCGGTGTGTGACGTGGTGCTGTAAAGCGCTACTCAGTTCTGTCGAGAGGTTCTCGTGTTGCTCCTCCAAAGTTACATAGTGCTATAGCAGCAGTTCCGGCCCAGAGTGACAACGACAGAGACGCCGTTCTCACTGTTATACGTCAGTGTTGCATCAGAATGATTTAGAAGCTGTTATTTTAAGGTAAAACTGTTACATAATGTTGCTTTAAGGAAACAAACTTCAGACCCCAAACACGCCTTGGCTGACTGACTCCTCTGTAAAAAAACAACAGGACCAAAACTCAAAATAACAAAACATTAAGCTTTTAGCAGATCACCAGCAGATCCTGGACGTTTAAGAAATTGGATCAGTTCCACAAATACCATCTAAACCATCTAGATTTACTCATCAGCCTTTCTGCTTCGCACTCTTCTGCATTTTCACTCATCAAACAATCTGTTCTTTTTATATTAGTCCTAATGTAGTGAGACAGTCAGAAAGAGTGGTGCTATATACACTCCTTAAGCTTTTAATGGCCTTAACAACAAATCACTGAACAAACAGCTGCAGCAGGTTAGTGATCTAACTTATTTAAGTGCTGTAGTTCAGTGTGTGAATGTTCAGACAGTCTTTTACAGAAAGAAGAGTCAGTATTGATCCACTCAGCACTGACGGCTTCGCACTGCTGAAAAACACCGCTGAGCTGGTTTGAGTTTAATGTGAGACCAAATAAACTCTATAGGGTTTAAATCTGGACTCTAACCAGCCAGAACCAGTAACAAGACTATATTTGGGCTTGGAACATTTTTCCCCAGAAGTGTAGATATCAGGTAAGGTGGGGAAACTTGTTGGAACCTGATTTTTCACTGAACAATCACCAGCTTACTGAGAACCTGTTTGGTGAAACACCTTCTTGAAGAACTGTAGAATTTTCTTCACTGTACTGACAAAGAGTCATCCTACCTTCATACGTTCATATTCCAGACCTTCATCTGTGCTCAAGAGAACATGCAATCCAGACGGATCCTCACAACACAACATCTCAGTTTAAGAACAACGCTTATTTTCTGTTTACACTGTTCTTCTTAAAGAGGAGCTCAACATTTCTGCATAATTAAGAGGTTCAGACGTAATCAGAGTGGTTCGAGTGGTTCAGAGTCGTTCAGAGCGGTTCAGAGCGGTTTGGTGTGAAACGCTCTGTTCTAGAGAAACTTACCGAGTCAGAACTGTTCACAGTGGTGGTGATAGGAACCAGACGTCCACCTCTAAAAGCTCCCTCACAGAAAGTTCCTACAGTAAACGGTTATGAATTCACTGCCTGATGACTGAGACACTGTTTTATGGTAGTTTAGAGAACTTAAACTCCATTCATGGTGGAGGGATACATGCAGGGCGCTGTGAGGCAAAATAGTCCCCAAAGAAAACTTATTATTTCAGATTTTCCACTATTTTCCATCATCAACATTCCATATAAACTCAGAAGACTCGTGTAGGTTCACTGGTGGTTCTGGATAGTAAATAAAATGTCTATATTTGTGTTGTAGTCATGGCGACCCCTGGTTCCTATCACCACCACTGTAAAGACATCCGAGTTATGGGGGAATTTTGAAAAATTGGTGGAATCCCCCTTCAAGCCATTGTCAGCACAGAAACCTTGAACCTGAGGTGGGTAACACATTTTCTGGATGGTTAACTGTGTTTTCTTTGATTTCATGTTGAAAAATGATTTAAAAATCTAAAGTTTAATGTTTTAGAGTTACACACACTAATCAGCCCCTCGATCATGGATCACTGTCCTACTGAGAGCACAGCTTTACCCCGGGCAGCCCTGATAACCTCCCCCGGAGAGCCCCACTCTACCTGTTCACGCAGCTCGGAGAGGACCGGTCGATTTCCCAGGTGGCGAACAGGTTCATGGGCACGGTCAGGGGCGCGGGGCCGGGACCCACAACCACCGAGCCTGTGCTCAGCACGCCGGCTCCGCTCGCTCCAGCTCCGGCCGGTCCCGCTCCGCCGCAGGCCGGGCTCAGCAGCACCGCCGCCCGCAGCGCGCCTCGATCTGCCGCCGCCATCATCACCGATACAGCCCCGGAGCTCCGCCGAGGGAGTGAACGAGCGAAGAGTGCTCTAACACGAACTGAGGGAGGAGGAGTGACCGCTACGGTACACACCCACCCCTCTCTCTCTCCCTCTATCTCTCTCGCGCTCTCTCTCTGCCTCTCTCCCCTGATTGGTTGGATCCTCTAGCGGTCGTTCTGGAATCTCAGGGGGAATACAGGAGGCGGAGCTTCAGTGTCACCTGTAGGTGGCGCTCTATCTCCATTACACTTTTAAAGGGGCCCATATCACAAAAACATGAGTAAACATTGTTACAGTTTCAAACCGTCCATACTTCATACAGTCCAACTACGCCTCCACTAACTGGCCACTTTATTAGAAACACCCACCTTGTGCTTCGACTAAATGGCCACTTTATTAGAAACACCCACCTTGTGCTTCGACTAAATGGCCACTTTATTGGAAACACCCTCCTTTCACTTTCTCTAACTGGCCACTTTGTTAGAAACACCCACCTTGTGCTTCGACTAACTGGCCACTTTATTAGAAACATCCACCTTGTGCTTCGACTAAATGGCCACTTTATTAGAAACACCCTCCTTGCGCTTTCTCGAACTGGCCACTTTATTAGAAACACCCACCTTGTGCTCCGACTAACTGACCACTTTATTAGAAACACCCACCTTGTGCTTCGACTAACTGGCCACTTTATTAGAAACACCCACTTTGTGCTTCGACTAACTGACCACTTTATTAGAAACACCCACCTTGTTCTTCGACTAAATGGCCACTTTATTAGAAACACCCTCCTTGTCCTCTCTTTCTCTCCGTCTCTGTTCTCTCTGTTTCAGTGAGCTGCAGTTTTCAGTCACTGTGAATAAAAACAGAAAAACTGGGTGAAACCCTGAATGAGCGAGAATGGAGAAGTTTATTTTATGGATAATCGCGCCCTCTGGTGGTCAGCTGGTAGACTGTCCTCCGCTTCATACTCGGCGCTGTTTATTTATTGTCCGCTCAGCTGTTTTCAGTTATGTAACTAAACTCCGTTGTTAAATTTAGACATTACTGATGAGCGAAGCTCCTGAAAAGACCTTCAACAGCTTCTGTATCTGAAACGCAGATCACAGTCAGCTGCTTCCTCTCAGTCACGATCACAGCCTGGTTTCCAGAAAAATACTTAAACACTTTTAAATACTGCGCAGCAGATCTTCGGGGGATCCGACCAGCCTTTTCTTTAAATACTGTAAATGAATTTGATACCTTTTAAAATTTAATGTCTGGGTCTTTACTCTGCATGTTCCTCTGTTTAATTCTACTCTGAGCCGGTTCCGTCGGTTCCGTGTTCTCAGCACAGCCGTTTAGGTTTCCCTCTAACACTGTGAATCATTTTTCAGGGTTTACTCTGAAACGACTCTACATTATTATGAATATGTAGGAGCGCTAACCTTCACTCATCTTGTACCTGTACACACTGTTCCTTATGTGGGGAGCTCGACGTGTCCAAGGTGAAGCGGTGAAGCTCAATGACTCTGGATAAAAACAACTTTTTCAAAAATTCTACATTTTAAGTTTAAAAAACGTTTAATAACGATTGAGATATTCTGATTATTCATTTAGCAATTTTTATAAAAATATAAAGCTATTTAAACGTCTTAGATACTTAAACAAGATAGCTCTTCAAGGGTTCAAGTAAGTGTTGGTTCTATTTAGAGCCATGAATTCTATACAGAACACTTGCATGCTTAAATGGTTCTCTGCATGGTGAAATGGTTCTTCAGATTGATGGGGAATGTGTTGGTTCCATATAGCACCAAAAAGGGTTCCGCCATTGTAATGATGTCAAGCTTGTAAAATTAGAAGAACCCTTTTTGATGCTACATAGAACCAATTCCAACACATTCTCCATCAATCTAAAGAACAATTTCACCAAGCAGAGAACCATTTAAGCATGCAAATGGTTCTATGTAGAACCACAAACTCTTGAAGAACCATCCTTTTTTAAGAGTGAAGAATTGTGTCCACCCGTCATTCTGGGATAAGTGCCCCTTTAGGAAAGTGACCTTTGACCTCAGTAACATCATAAAGTTCATATTGTTTAATAACATTAATAAGTTATTCCACTGCGTGTCTGTCACTCTGTCTCTGTACGTAACAGACACCGCTGTCCTGGTGGAACACTGAGCTTATTAAAATGATGTTTTAATATCAAAATATAGCTGTGAAACAAAACAAGGTCATCTTGAACATTTCGGCATGTCTGCACCTGCAGGCCAGCCATGTGCTCATCAAAAGTCGGGAAACCAGACGTTCCAGTTTTCCGGGAACAGTCCCCGTTTCAGTCCTCGGCTGGATCTGTCCCTGGAAATGTTCCCATTTTTAACTGTGAATTAAAAACACAGCGGAAAGTCCCAAGAAAGACCTGCAGCAGAGCAGATGGGCAGGCGTCTCGCGCTGTGCTTGTTTTGTCCAGCAGAGGGGGCTGCTGCTGTCTACTGACCACTTCTACCACTTTCTCGCCTAGTTTTAGAGAACGCTGCCGTGTTAAACTCCACCAGAAGCTCTCAAGTGTCCAGTAAGTCCACAACATCACCACAGACGTCTTTTCAGGACTTTTTAAGACTTTTTAAGATTTGTTCAGACAGTCTACTTGACTGTAGGTACCACACGATCTACAAATCTACTGTATGATTTTCTGAAGAAGTTTACAAAAATTATTTAGTGAGTACCCAGTTTGATCACACATATCACTGCTGTCGGAAGATTTTTGTCAGAAGTTTTTCAGTTTTTGAAATAATTTGAAAATAACCTTTATTCTTTACGTTGTGTGTAAATTTCATGATGATGCACCGAAAGAAACAATCCTGGTTCCATTGACTTACATTGAAAGTAAAGTAGGTTTTTTCCTTCTCCTGTAAAGTCACCATTTTGGAGACAGGAGGTTTTCTTCGATTTACATATATATAAAGGTGGCAGTGGATTAAGGGTAGCAGTGAATTTAAGGTAGCAGTGGTTTTAGGGTTTAAGTGGAAAGTGACATAATTAATTTACTTAATTCAAACACATCATTTCCTCATGAATGGATCAAATATTTTACATTAACACAGTTTTCACATCACTTTATATGTTTTTAATACCGTAAGACCATTTAATTGAGTTTTTTTGGAGGATGTGTTGGTTCTATATAGAACCATTTACATGTTTAAATGGTTCTCTGCATGGTGAAATGGTTCTTCAGATTGATGGAGAATGTGTTGGTTCTATATAGCACCAAAATGGGCTCTGCTATTGTAATGATATTAAGCTTGTAATATTAGAAAAACCCTTTTGTTGTAACGTAGAACCCTTTTCACAAAGGTTCTACATAACAAACCTACGTCTGAACTTCTCTCAGCTATAAACAAACCCCTGCACTCTGATCTCAAGGAATTGTGGGTAAAAGGCTGCTGCTTTTCATAATGTTCCATTTGCATTTACATATTTTCAGTGTTTTTTTAATCTGTAGAATAAAAGAATAAACAGAAAAGCCACACAAATGTAAATACGCTGGTCCTGCACAGCAGCTGATTGGCTGTGTGGAGTTTTAGGGGCGGAGACTCAAGCCAACATTGTGATCAGCTCAGTTCATCAATAGTCACTGACCACTGTAGAGAGACACACATTAAACTGGACTCAGTGATTTCTGTGGCCAACAGATGGCAGTGTTGCTCCAGTTTAATCACACAAAACTGAGCTGTGTCTGAAACTGGGCTCTGTTCACTGTACAGCTCACTGTTTTGGTTCCACTACCATATGGAAAAATATTTGGTTGTGTATTTTTATATATTTGAAACAAACTCCAAACACTAAAATGTGTTTCAGAATATTTTGCCATATTTACCAAATATATTTTAAAGTACATTTATTTTAAAATGTGTGTGGAAATATTACACATAGACAGAAATAACTGTGTGTAAATGTGTTTATCAAATCCATCTGAAAATGTATGAAAATATCCAGAATCCTGTCTGATGCTCTTCACTGTCTGATACCTTTAGAAATGAATTTGTGTTCCAGTATCTTCATTTTAAATCTGATCAAATGATCCTTTAACAGGACAGAAGCGAGTGTTGTGGGTATTGATACTCTGTGAAAATGCAGTTATGATCTGATATCTTGTTTATGTGAAATACATTGTGTGTGAGAGTCTTAATAACTAATACTAATAAATACATTTTAAACATATATTTAACTAAGACGTTTGGTTATTTTCACACACTGCAAAAATGTCTCTGACAGATACATTTAGAACATATATAATTTTTTCCATACAGGATTTTTTGTAGTGGTGTCTGAGAACATAGTGCAGACGATCCAGTGCACTTAAACAATCCCACAATGCACCTCAATAAGCAGCGGTGTACCCTAAGGGATAGGGGATACCCACAATGCACTGTGGTTTCTCTGTGCACTTGGCTCCTCTGAGCAGGAGTAGCGAGCGCAGCTGCAGCAGCAGCATCTCTGCAGCCCTGATACAGACGAGAGTCAGATCTTCTCAGGTGTGCAGTCGGTTATAGAGGACGGTGTTTATGTCACGACCTGTATGACACAGTGTCCCTAATCCTCTACCACCATCACCCACCCTGTTCCCTGTAACAGTGCTCTATACTGAAGGTGTATTACCATGGTGATCCAGCAGGGTGCGTCAGCTGCTCTGTACCTTCAGTCATTAATTAGCAGAGACGTTATAAAGGAAGAGGAGACGGTCGCTGGTCGGAATATGAACGTGAACATGGTATCTGTTTACAGGGAAAGTCCCGCCCCTCAAGAAAAAGAGCCAATCAGCTCGCTGGTTACGGAGCGAGCAGGAAGGCCCCCCTCGCTGTGGAGATGTGTGCACAGTAACATTTTTTTATGCGTTACTGAGCCAAATTCTACAAGCTGCTTATGAGTTGTTGTCAGATTTTAGCAGTGCTTTCAAAGTTTCAAGTTTTTAAATGATAATTTGACCTTCAGTTTTGAGTATTTTGGTCTCTCCTGTTTAGACAGAGAGGAGTCTGGAGTCTTTCCTATAAGAACTTTTTTAATTAGGCACCTGATGACCTCCTTTATCTGTCTGCCATGCCACCAGGTCACACAATAACAACAACAACAACAACAACAACAACAATAAT